GATTCGTAAGCTGGCAATTCTTTTATTCAGCTTCTTAACAAACTTCGATTCTGCCTAAATTGATATGTGAAACCACATTTTTCTTCATACGTAATTTGCAGTTTGTCATCCTAAACTGCATCCAGTTATCACAATCTTGTTCCATCTATAAACATAATATAATGTTCATATTTTAATGACAGAAAATAGGTGTTTATAAAATGAAATTTGGCAACTAAGTTTACTTACATTGAAATGATCTTCGCAGCAATAAATTCCACCAGAAATACTAGACAATATATTAACTCTTTCCACAGCTAAACACCAATTTCTTATTTGTTAATTTTTGGGGTTTGGGATTTTCTTCGAATTTAGATTACTGTTTTTACAAGAAGGCACAAAACATTTACGAAAATCCATAGCCAAACAGTGAACATTAGGTAGGCCTTAGGTGGGTACACTGAAACTGAAATGCATGCTCTATTTGAGTCCTTAACATCAAATAATGAGAAACGATGACTTACCTTGAATTTATTACACGTTTCTTTTAAATATTTTTCTTGAAACCTCGGAAAAACCGTTGAAAAACTCAAAAAATAATGAAAATATAACAACGGTCGATGACAATCCAAAATAATAACAAAACAACATAACCTCACAAAATTGCATATGTTGATGGATTTGTTTACAACTGCTTTGCGCATGCCCGCCTGGTGACGTCATGAGAGAAAGAGACCAACAATTCGACAAGGATAAAAAATGCTTAAATTTTAAATTAATTTAAATAAACCAGGAAACAATTTTCAATGCAACCAATATGACATGGCTAAGTTTTAGGCCTCACTATATCGAAAAATAATGGTCAGTATAATTTTAGTGATAGGAGGTAACGACCCTATTATGCACTACGTAATCTTAGAACTTTCAATGTTCCTTTTCATAGAACGTTATAAGGAATCAATAGCCCCATCCCATGCATAGATATATGTCATTACTGAATGGTCTCAATGTAGATATTTTTCACTTATCATTGGATGCTTTGAAAAAAATAGCTTTAGCTTTAGGTTGGTAGTCAAACTTGTTACCTCACTTACTACTTTTGAGGTGTTTTTTTTTTACTTTGTATTAAGATATCTTTTTATACCTAACCGTCCTAACCTTATTATTATTATTATTGATTATTTGTTAATGTTTAACAGTTAATGGGGTTATCCAGTATAAATAAATAATTAAATAAATAAATACCCTAGACGCAGCACTCTGAATAAAGGATCCAATGAAATTCCTGAAATAGATAGGAATTTATAGATTGCATTTAAACAAATGTCGAAGATAATGTACAAGATAAGATTGGGATACTAGCAAAGATGATAGAAATACTAAGAGAAAGTGCGAAAATTCTAATTATTTCACTTATACAACCTACTAACAAAAATAATACCAAATAGGCTGACACACAAATTTCACTCACCAATAACCCCCTGCGAACAGACGGAATTCCGGAAAGGTTACAGCAATATAAGCCATCTGCAATCTATTCAGTTTACCTTTGTCTTTGGTTTTCGTCGATAAGATAATGCAAGAATCGATTCCAGATATTAAACCCTCATAAAATCTATTTCTGACATGAAAACTATGATAATTAGCTACACTGGAAGAAGACTTCCTCCGGACCGACAAAATTCCAATCCAACGAACAGACAAGGAGATACAAATTCTCTGAAACTGTTCACGATGGCCCTGGAAGATGTCTTCACAATCGTGATTTGGAATCAGAAATGAATATATTATTGATGCATTAGTCCACTTGAGATTTGGAAATGCTAATATTCTGAGCACTTCACCAGAATAACTAAAATTCAAACACCAATAAACATCAATACAAATTAGATTACAAACGAACTTGAGTAGGTACAACTAAAATAATGGATCTTGAACAAATACAATTACCCATCGAAACCTAAACCCCAGAAAATTTATCCAAATACCTACATATACCTCAAAAACCATAATCAAAATGCAAAGTATCTCGAAAAAAAGGACTTTGTTAGGCGGCATTTGGTAAAATCAGGTTCATTCTAGGACCAGATGTATAATAGCAGACGGAAAAATTACGATCAATGTACAATGGCTGTATACTGCCGGTTCTTTGACCCAGATACCATATCCTGTACATGAAAATCTCTACACTGAGAAATCAGATCAGAAATATGAGGATGCAGATGTTCCTAAAATACCAGCACAATTAGAGTGGTCATGATGAGCTGGCCATATAGCCAAGGCATGGAAAACCAAATGGACAAAAAAACTTATACTCAATATAGTGACCAACAGAGATGAGAAAAAAATGATCTTAGTTCCTCTCTATGGAGATTTTGTGTTAGGATGAAGGATATACGGCAAGCCGCATGGATTATCTTTCTAGGGCTTAAATAACGTAGATAGGCTTTAAATCCTAGACAAGAAACCGATACTGGTGCCAGATTATTGAAACAAGGCAACAGCGTTCTCATGAAAACAAATTTTCTGCTTTTATCTCTCATATGAAATTTCGCATGGAACTGAGAAGGTTAGGGCACTTTTTCTAATAGGAAACCTCCTTCCTCGTTTCGAGAATCAGACGCCTGATAAAATCCTTGATGGAATAATCTAGAAACTTATGGAAATGATCAAGATTCTAGGATTTGGTGTTTATCAGAAATTCTTAGAAGAGAACAATCTAGAAAATTACGATAGAATCGAAGTGCTTTGGTGTAAAAGGACTTATCTCCTCAAGTCAGTTGTACAGTTTGTTGGAGAAAGTTCCACTCTCTCTATCTCTTTATCTTTTTTTGTAAATATTGCACAATTGAGAGATTTAAAATGAATAAATAAAAAAAAATTCAAAGCTTTCATTTTAAAGACACTTCCTACACTTTACAGGGTGTTACAGGCCTTCAAAAGTACCACGGGAGTTAACAGTATTTGTAAAGCAACTTTAATATTAAATTTCATTTTAAGTGTTTCACGAATACTCTTGTTTGTTTAGTTTAAATTTACGAGGTGTATAACGCATTTTTTCTACTGACATTTCATAATACGCTATTAAACGATTAAAATCTGTATCATAATGAACTTCATTACGATACAGATTTTCATTATAATACTCATTTTTAATATTATACAATGTTGATAGATGGCAGCACTAGTTAAGATATTAAACATTTTAAACGGTAATTTTGCATAAAACAATTATTTTGATAACTATAAGAAAGACTCCGAATTGTTTAAAAGTTACCTTAAGTTAGGGACAAAGAATAATTAATATGGAAATAATGAATGATAAGGAAGAATTTTTACTTTTTTCATTATTATATATTGTCAATAGATGGCGCCATCAGTTAAAATTTTATTTATTTTTTTGAATGTTGGCAGCACTCTGTTTATAGCTTTTCCATGGTAATTTAGCGAAAAACAATAATTCTATAAACAAAAATACCCCCTTAAATACCTTATTAAAAGTTAATACCTTAAGTTTGGGAGAAGGCATTATTATGGAAATATTGAGCGATAACGAAGAATTTTCACTAACACCTCCAGAAATTACAGAACGGGCGACAAATGCAGGTAATAATATACTACTGGACAAGTCCAAGAAAATTTACGAAAAATTATATGGACAATTTATGGATTGGAAACACAAAAAACACATCATCCTTTTCAGAAAATGTTTTGATAGTATATTTTGAAGAATTACAACAAAAAATTAAACCTTCAACTGTATGGATTACTCAACTATGAAATCTCCATTCAAAGTTAAGCATAATGTTGACATATCTAAATATCATAAGTTTTATCAATGGCAGTAGAAAAAATAGTGTATGCAACTCTCATGTAATGGCCATTAATACACTCGCATGTTATATACGAAACTCGCCTGCGGCTCGTTTCGTATCCTACAACATGCTCGTGTATTATTGACTATCATTACATGATCATTGCATAATATACTATTGAGGCATTTTAAAACATAATGGTATTTGGATTTATAGGAAAAAAAACAAATATAAGGGGTAACCTTTACTTAACAAAAGGGAACCCTATAATATAGTGGTAGGCATATAGAAAGTTTAAATGTTTTTCAGGATGGCCGTTTTAAATATTTCGAAAAACAAAAAGTACTTTTTCAAATAGGTACCTACAGTGTAAAGTCCGTCGATTTTAATCTGATACTCGGAAGGAATGTGAGCTGGTGGCACCCTACATTATAACGCCAATGGTCACCTGACGTCACACTTGTTTTTGCCATATACTTCACCCCCTCGCTCCTCATACCGCAAGTGTCAGATAAAAATCGACGAACAATATGTATGTACAGGGTTATTGGTTATAAATGTCACCCCCCTCTATCTTTTTTATTTGACATTTTAGAAAAAAGTGTTTCAAATAAAAATTTTATGGTTGAAATTAAATTATTTTGAAAAACTCACTTTTGCATATACAGGGTGTTTCAAAAAAGCTGGTAGTGCTCCAACTTTCTTATCTTAAATTGAATACCCTGTATATTATTTTAGATTCGGATTCTTCGTCAAATTCTGAGCAGATTTCATATGATATACCCTATACCTAAGTTCAACTGTTTTGGAAATATTGACAGTTGAAAATTGACTTTCTTGTAAATTTGACAGGCTGTAAAACCTAAACGGTTAACTTTTGAGCAGGAATATCCAATAATATACAGAGTATTCTATTGGAAATAAGAAATTTGGAGCACGACCAGCTTTTCTGAAACACCCTGTATATGCGAAAGTTAGTTTTTCAAAAAATTCAATTTCAACCATAAAACTTTTATTTGAGACACTTTTTTCTAAAATGTCAGATAAAAAAGATAGAGGGGGGTGACATTTATAACCAATAACCCTGTACATACATCTTGTTTCAACACCAACACCAAAATTGCGTCAAGCTACAAATTTAATATTTGACATTATTTTTAGGTAATAAAAATTAAAAACACTCACCAAGAATTATTATTTTTTCAGAATTCGCAAAAAGAACCAACCGGATTGGTACTGTGAAATTTGCGGTACTTACGTCAAGCCTACCTCAAGCATCCTAAAAGACTCAACCGCATTTGTGAAATGTTCGAAATGCGGATCCAATGTGTGCAAAACGAAATGTGCCAAATTTATCCAGCAAGCCCAATGGATCTGCACGGATTGTTTGAAACCTACCCAATCATGGTTCCAGGGCTTATTACGCGCAATTCAACCTAATGATACGCCAGGTGAGATCCCAATTGAGTTGATCTTATAAAAAAAATATTAATTTGTCTATTTTTAGTGTATAATTTTGGCAGAATGTTGCACCCAGAGCTGCAACCATGTCCAGAAATTGATGCCCTGAGAAAGTTGGAAAAAGAGCAAGTGAGAGATTTCATAGAGAAACTCGTCAATGTAATGCTAGGAGAAAATGTTGATAATGCCAGTGTATCAATGTTGTGCAACGATAATAATTGTGAGTCCAAAAAATACTACAAAAACAAATTTTGCTTCAAATTAATGTCAGTAGGTTTATGCAAACATTAACTTTCTCATGTCAGATTCTTTTTAAGCTCCCGCTGTTAATTTTTTCCTTTAAAGTAAAACTATGTAAATTTAATCGACCTTGCAAGGTTGTTAAGTGCTTTAAAGATTGCTATACCGTGAAAAGTATAGTGTTACGCACCAGAAATTTTTATTTGTATTTTTTTGTCTGGCTGCATACTTGTCTAAGTAAAACATTGCTTTTATACACTCGAGTAATGCAATATTTTGGCGAATGCACCTAGGAAATTATTTATTTTTTTACAAACGTCACTAAAAGTGTAATTTTTAACGCATGCTGTCAGTGTCTATAATGCCACTAAAAATAATTGCTTTTAGTGCGTTTGTAGAAAAAATAGTGTATGATATTCGTGTTAAAAGTGATTTTATTTTGTTCAAAGGGATGGAACACTCCGCCTTCGGCGTCGTGTTCCAAACTTCCCTTTTCACAAAATAAAATGTCACTTTTAGCACTTATATCATAAATAACTATTATCTACAGGATTTTTCGTATTATAAAATAATCTAAGAAGTTTTTTTTTCCATTATTACAGATATAAAACTCTTCCAGAGTTACCATCGAGATTTGAGTAGTACTTTGACAGATTTAGGATCTACTTTACATATTTCTATGTCAAATAATAGTAAGTCAAATAGGATTTTTTTTGGCACTTTCTTTACGAATGCACTTGCTTGCTGCTTGCTTATCAAGACTTCAGAGTTTAGAGAAGGGGAATTCTGATTGGGCTAAAGTAGAAATTTGTCCACCAAATCTTCCTTGCAATATATCACAAAAGTTAGCACTCTCACATTAATAATTATTGACATAGGTAAATATTACAATTATTTACGGCAAAAACCCGCACTTGAAGATTCCCCACTCGCATTGTCTAAATAGTAGCCATAAATATGTACATAAATGAAAATGTTATCACGTTCCAAAAAACCTCTATCTATAATAATTTAAATTCAATGGGTATTTTTGCTTGATTTATAACTGTATAGGCTTTTTATCAATAATTTATGAGTAATTTAACGAGAAATGTGTAAAGTGTCCAAAAAAAGTCATCTTTGGAACTCTGGCATCTCAATAAATCATTCAACGCTTGTACAAAATATACGGTGCGGTAGTTGACTGTATAGTATTCAACTATAAAATACATATGTATATCCATATCATTTAATCATTTAGGAACACTTTTGGACTTTGAAAAAGGACTTACGAAATATTCTGAAAAACAACAAGTCCAATAATCGATTCTTTCTTCTTCTTCAAGTGCCTTGTCCTTCTACGAACGTTAGCAATCATCAGCTCTATCTTAAGCTGTGGTAGTACTCGAGAGTCGAGTGCAAACGGTCTCGCGCTTCGTTTCTTTTTTAAATAAGATTCTCACGTTGTACCCTGTCAAAGGCTTTTCTCATAGTCTACGAAGCATGCGTATCGTATCAGGAAGAGAAACATCTCTAAATCTTTGAAATAGGACTTGGATGCTAACACGGCCTTTCTTGTGCTAGTACCGTTACGAAAACCAAATTGGGATTCGCTCGTGAAAGACTCGCACTTTGCGTATATTCTTTTATGGATGAAATAGATGAAAAATCATTAGGAAGTGGTCATCATCTTTTCACAAAGCTTTTCTTGGGAAGCGTCACAAATGTTCATTTACGCCAGTCAGAGGGAATGATTCCCGATCGGTAAACCCTATTGAAAAGCTTCACTATTGCGTTTAGTGACTCCTCATTTTTTAGGATTCCAATAACTTCTGAGTAGACACCGTCTGAACCTGCAGCTTTTCAGTTTTTGTATACCTGAGTAGCGCGTTGAACTTTTTCCTCAGTTATATCTAGTCCTTTCCATGAATACTCTTCAGGAATGTCCGATATCTCGTCTTGAAACTGGTTTTAGATGTAGCTGCTCAACTGTTTTACTTTGTCGTTGACATCAAAAGAATTATCTTATCTTGACTGTCCAACAGAATGCTGGTCTGTCGACGTTTGTATACACTAGCAGCTTCTTTAATTTTCTTATTCATATCAAAACTGTCATATGTTGCCTCAAGGTCTTCGATTTTCCTACATCGTTCGTTTATCCAATTTTTTTTAGCTACCCTGACTTTGTGTTTTATTTCACGATTTAACTGACGATATGCTGGCTCGTCTTTTGGCAGGTATCTTTCTGCCATCAAGTCGAAGATTTTGAAAGATTTCATCAGACATCCAAAATTTTTTCCCTACTCTAGTGTTACTCGATGACAAATTCCATAAAGTCTCCACTTCTTGATTCTCTGCCCTGTTTATTACGTTTAGTTTATTATCTAATTCGGCTTCCGTCTTGAACTTTTCGTTGTAGCTGTACATCTTTTTAGTGTCAACTGGGTGTTCGCTACAAGCGGATTGTGATCCGAATTTATAGCTGCGCCAGGGTAAGTCTTTGCAGATTTGATGCAATGTCTGTAGCGTTTATTTATCAGCACGAAATTAATTATTGGTTTCTGACAATTCTGTCCGGCGTATGAGCGTTAAAAGTCCAGCTGTAGAGACGTCTTGGTGGTAGTTGATAAGTGTTTGAGACGACAAACCCCATTCATTGAAAAAACCCGAACAGTCGATCACCACGTTCGTTCACAATACCCAGTCCGTATTTACCAACTATATCATTCCTTACTCCACTGCCAATTTTTGCATTGAAGTCACCCATAATAATTGTAATTCTGACTTCTTAGTAAGATTTAAGGCGCTTTGAAGTTGTCCGCAAAAGATTTCATCAGTTTCGTCTGCGGGTAATCGCAGGTTGGTGCATTTTTCTGGATAATGTTCACATTCTATGGTTTGAAATTGAGTTGGAGAAATGCTACTCTATCTGAAATCGGGACAAAAGGTTTCACTGTTCTATGTATTTCCATGTTTACTATGAAGGCCACGCCGTTGTAGTGATTTTGGTGGTCGTTACCAGAATAATAAACATGATGGTTATCGATGTGGCATTCACCAGAATTTGCCCATCATCTCTTCATGACTGGCCTGGTGATTCTTAGCACCCTTTGGTTATATAAGGCCTGCCGGGGACTGAGGGCTTGGGAAAATAATGAGGTGCTTTCCCGTTGCCTTCCTCATCGCAGTGCTGAAACCGTTTATAAAACTATATAACTTGGTGCCGTTTTTTTTTTTTTATACATATAAATATTATATCTATAAATACTGTCACAGCCTCTCTGTGACGGGGGGTGTAGGGTGGATAGATGAAGAGAAACTTGCTCTGTTTTATATAAAAATATGTATATTTGCTAAGAAGTCATCACGTCATGAATCTTCCAGGAGGCATACTCTTCCGTGGGAAGGGTCACACGTTTGACGCTACTTTGGAAGGAATGTCTATTTAATGCTTATGTTACGTTGAATGCTAATCGTCATTTAACTGATCCTCATTTAGAGGTGCTTTCCCAGGATGGCGGTACTTGCACTAGATGACGATACAGTTTCCCAGAGGGGCTTTCCCAGGGTGGCGATACTTGCACCGGGGAGACTTGATTCCAGAGGGGCGTTCCCAGGGTGGCAGTACTAACACTGGTTCAAGTCTGTGTGCTGCTCGGCTTGGCCCACTTTATATGAATTTATTGCTGAATTGCTATAAACATCCGATCGATTATTTGGGGCTTGGAGATTAGTGCCCGGTGCGGCTGGGTGCAGTATCTGCGTCTTGTTAAAGTTAACCTCAAGGCCGATTCGCTTTTATGCCTGGTTGAATGCATTGATAATTGCCTGCATTGGCCATCAAGATGTTATCATCCGCATATTGAAGTTCAATAATCGATGTCGTCGATACTTTCGTCTTGGCTCGTAATCTGTTTAGGTTGAATAAGCTTTCATCAAGTCTGTACAGGATTTCCACTCCTGACGGCAGGTGTCCCTCGACAAGATGAAGTATGGATCCTATAAGTAGAGAAAATAGAGTGCGTGATAACACAGCCCTGTTTAACGCTTGTAGTTATTTGAAGATTCTCCTTATCCATCGTTGTTTAGGACGGTTGCATTCATATTATCATGCAGCAGGCATGGTATCTAGATGTACAGGGTGATCTAGTATAAAGTGAACACCCCCTACCTTTTCGCTAAAAAAATAAATTTTTCTCAAAAAAATCAAGATAGCCATTTGGTGTATTTTGTTTCTAGGAATTTGGGAACGTTTTTCGAAATTTAATTAGATTTTTCGTCAAAGCACTGTGACAACAAAAGTAATTCTTTTAAATGGAATAACCTATATTTAAATCAATTTTTGAAACACCCCTATTTTTCTCATTTCAAATATATATAGTTTGTTTATCTTCATTTTGAAAATTTGCGATATATTCTCACTTTAAACTTTGGTATTTGGAATGAGAAAAATAGGGGCGTTTCAAAAATTGATTTAAATATAGGTTGTTCCATTTAAAAAAATTACTTTTGTCGTCACAGTGCTTTAACGAACAATCTAATAACATTTCGAAAAACTTTCCTAAATTCCTAGAAACAAAATACACCAAATGGCTATCTTGATTTTTTTGAAAAAAATTTTTTTAGCGAAAAGGTAGGGGGTGTTCACTTTATACTGGATCACCCTGTACCTACCTACTTTTGCGGACACCAAACCTTTGCTAATATCTTCCAAAGAGCTTCTCTGTTGACCGAATCAAATGCTTTCACTAAATCTATGAAGGTCATATATAGAGGTCGATTTTGTTCGATGGATTCCTCTTGCATTTGTCTTACCCTGAAAATCATGCCAGCTGTAGGTACCTCCGTTGGGTCTAAAGCCACACTGTGTCTCTGGGAGGTTTTATTCGGCAGCTGGGATTAGACGATTGGATAATATTCTGGCAAGTATCTTACTCGTAACAGAAAGTAAAGATTTTCCTCTACAATTTCCACAATGAGCCTTCATTGTCTCCCTTTTCA